ACTTTTATTCTGCTGCTTTCAAACAAACTGCTACAGCAAGGAGAGATGGGAGGTGGGTATAAAACCACAGCCAGGAGACAGCTCCCTCCAGGACATTTGTGCTCACATTTCCTGGCTCCTGGTTTCACTGTTTTTTGTAAAGGAGTTGAAGCCAAGACTTTTGCCAGCCTTTCTATCACTGGAGAAGGCACCAGCAGCCACAGCTCGAGCTCAGCACAGAGAAGAAGCAGCTGTCTGTTAAACCATTGGAGAACTTGGCAGTGCAGCTGCTTTTGGAGCATAAATAATTCATGTTAATGGGCCAGGTTGGCAAATGAATTCAAGTGTTTCCTCTCAAATAGGGTTTTTGCATCCAGTTTTGACAGGGTGTTTGAAGTGGGGGTTCTCAACTCAGTGCTTTTTGGAGAGGCTTTGCAGAGAGCACATTTCTGAAGAAATTTGGTGACATTGCAGCATTTGTAAGATCTTGTACAATACAGTAGCAGGAACCAACTACTAAGCATGACCTAGAACCATCTCCATCCCTGTGCAACAACTACCTGTCAGACTTTGGATAAGCCAAGTGAAGGAAAGGAGCAGGACATTTAGGGAAAAAAAAAACAAGGAAACAAAAACCCAACAACCCCACATTTTTCTTTAGAAAGCAAGTTCTCAGCCTAACCAGTTCCACAGCTCAGGATGCTGGATGGTCAATTAGAGAGTGGCAAGAGCTGGCATTGCTGCTAAGACAAAAACACATGCCCAGCTCTGGTCTTTGCCAAGTTACTACATCTTTGACCCATCCCAAGTCAGGACAGGCCTCCCAGAGGGTGAAATCCACAGCTCTCCTTCAGGCTTTGGTACTCAGTTTGTGTAAGAGTAACAGGAGCTGCTTGTGGGATTTAGGTGTTAAAGAGGCAGGTTATGATTGCTGGGAGAATTCAGTGCAGCCAGGATTGGGTTTTGTCTCTTTGCTCATCAGGTACTTGAGAAGGAACACTTTGAATGAGCATGGCAGGATTTTTCATGATGGGAGAAAAAGGAAAGAGTCCACACCTCCATTAGTCAAAAAACCCACAATAATCTTGCTTGACCAGTCAGCACAGAGTGGCCACTCAGCAGGGGCTGCAAGAAAGCAAAGCTGAGAACCTAAGGGTTGGACTCATGATCCTTGTGGATCCTTTCCAACTCCGAATATTCCATGGCAATAAGGCTTCTATGGCTTCTGTGGATGGCAGAGTATGTTTTCTTCAATATATTTACATTTTTAATCTGGTACCATAGAGTTTACTCATTTTTTGCTCCAAATGCCAAACAGACTGTGTTGCTAAACCTCCAGCTACTAGCACAGCTTTTTAAACCAACCTCTAGTTTAGTGATAACTCTGGCATCATTGATTTTATTTATTTATTTGATAGCCCCCTGGATTCAGTTTGCTCTGTGTTACTGCATCCTCTGCAAGAGCAGTGATGTTGCACATTATAATGGTTTCTGCATTAAGCAGCTTCTGTGAAAAATCAGAAAACTCCAGCTGAGCAAATTGCTGGGTGCTGTTGGGACTGTGGTCATATCCTGGACTGAAAAAAAGAAATCCACCTCTCATGCAAGCCTTAACAAGGGCCTGGTGTGCATGCCAGCTGTCAGGATGGGGAAAGCAGGGTAATTGGAGCGATTAAAAGCTCACAGTGGTTACAGAATGCTTTTGCATTTAAGGTGGAGTGAAACTGTCCTGTAACAATGCTCTGGGAAACTCTGTGGAATTCTGTCATCTCTGCACCAATATTTTAAATTCTGGAGCCTTGACCCCACCAGTTGGCACCTATATAAACACCTCCAAGACAAGCTGGGGAGCAGCAGCACAAAAGGATGTGCTGACCCCCAAGCTGTGCTGAGGAGCTGTGTTTTAAAAAGATCCTCCACTTGAATATATAATGAAATAGTGGCAATTTTAGTAGCTAGCGTGAGGTGAACACAGGAGGGTCCTTATTTATTATTTCAAACAGAACAGGGAAGGAGAAATTTCCACATGTATTTGACAGGATTCAGTAAGATCTCAGATATAAGGATCCAGAATCTCCATAGAAATCAGGATCATGCAAAGCAATGACATTACACTTCATTTAAATTACTGCACCAGTGGGATTTTACAGATTTAACTGCTGCTTCACCCCTCAAAGAATTGACCCAAGCACTATGAGTGTGCAGGACATCTGAATATTATATTTCCAGAAAATGGTTACACCTTTCTGGAACATACAGGAGACCTTGAGGAAAAACAAACAGTGCTGTCCTCTATCTCCAAAGGCTTTCTTTACATGCACATTTCACACTGGATAAAAATAGCCTTAAACCCTGAGTCAAGTAAGCTTCTTATATTGGAAAAACCTGTTTCAAGTGGACAAAGGAGACAGAAGTGGCACACCATAAAAAGGCTTTGGTTTCAGTGTCTGCAACTTGAAACACCACCCTGGTCTCGTTTTCTGTGTCCAAGAGGGAACTAACCAACACTGATTGCAAGGAGCATGAACAGGGTGTGGGCTTTCTGCTTCTCCTTTCTGCATTTGGAGATCAGGCTAAGTTCCTTTTCAAGCCTAACTGGAAACTGTGAAAAATTAATCACAGGGAAAACACAAAAAATCCATTCTGTATCTTTCATCAATACTCAAAACTTACAAACTGGTCAAGATCTTGACTATAGAAGAATCAACTGCAATCATTTCCATAGCCAGTAATTTTGAAACTGTCTCATTGGTACTAAAACATTTCTAGAGACACGCACACAGCTTATTTCTGTTGTAATTATATCTGAGCTGCAGTTCAAAGGAAAGTTGAAGAAAGTCAGAGAACAGGATATGAGATTTCCTGGTGCATTTTTAAACTGCAGTGCATAAAGCACTAGGGCTCTGTAGATTACTCCAAAGGGAGTGAGAAGGGAACTAAAGAAAGCAAGCCCATTGTTTTGCTAAACTTATTAATCAAGTGTTCAGAAACAAAAAAAGAGTGAAAAAATAAGAGCTAAGCAAGACATTAAGAGACTGCATGCTGTTGCTCAGTCCTGCTGGTCTGTTCCTCTTGGCTACAACATTTCAAGCAAACTTGGTCACTTCAGTGTGCCTCAGTTTCCCCTTAAACACCCCACACTCCCCCAGAATAAGAAGTCAGAAGGTAAATAATGTCTCATTATTAGCCACACTAAGATCACCTTGGAAGATTCTGGCCTAAGCACTTAAAACTGATCCTGGTAGGACTAGAAACGAAAGCTTTATTATTATTATTTCTTATTAATTACTGCTATTCCCCTTAGAAGCTTCATGGTCAAACCCAGCATTTCTGTGAAGCTCCCAGGGTAGATGCAGGACAAGCAGCTGGGTGACAGAGGGAATTCACCACTGTCCTACAGCTAGCCATTCCCACACCTGAATCCATGCCTTTTGTGATGGAGACCTGCTTAAAAGTGAAATTTAGTGGATCCCTCACCACACCAACCTAATGCTACAGCTCTGGAGGCCAAGCTCCACCACTGGCTGTGAATAGTTCAAGGTCTAGAAAGGAGAAAAGTTGGAAATTTAGGCCAGAATTATATCCACATTTCTGTGGTTCTAACAACAGAGCAGGCAAAAGTGGTTCAGATGAACATAAGATCTTAAAAATGTAAATGTGGGGGAAACAATGAACAGAAATGAGAATAAGAACTTTGTCTTATTGAACCAAAAAAGAATTTCCTCAGTGCAGGAACTGCAGAAAGGGATCATTGCCTTCATACCAGCAGTTTATCACCTTCCAAGAATTTTTTTTTTGAGAGAGCAAGTCTGTGTGAACAGTACCAAAGAAATCCCAAGCTGGATCCATAACCAGCGCTCAGTGAGCATCCCAGTGCAATACTCCAGCCCAAGCTCCTTACCAAGCTTAGAGCAAAGTCATCCCAGAAGAAATCCACACCACCCATTCCTGAGAAGAGATGCTCCCACACCCCACTCCCAGCACCACATGCATTTGGCATTGCTACAAATCAGAAGAAGAAGCTCAATGGAAATGAGGGGGGTGGACATTTTACATTTACTCTCTTCCCAATAACAGAGTTGCACCTTCCCACCAAACAACCCTTCCTAGACTGATCTCAGGGCTGTGCTCCCTCTTTGGGTGACTGGCCTCTTGCTCAGCTGTTAGCACAGATTTCACAAGAGCTGCAGTATTTTCCCCTCTCCAGGGCAGAGAGCCCAGCCAACATCACAAACATGACCCTCAGAATGGATTTACATGGTTAAAGATGGCACAGAACATCACCAGCTCAGTACCACCCTTTTGTTCCTCATGGGTACCCAGGAGGCCACGATGTGAACCTGTCAGGAGCCTGATCTGGCTTTAAACAGCAGGTGATTTTTAAGCTGATCAATTCCCTGATCCACTTTGCTCTATAAAAAATTCCTTTGATAAAACTGAGAGCAAGACAAAACCAGAAAAAAAGTGAAACTGGGGGAAGAAACTAGAAGGAAAGAACACATCAATCCAGCATTATTACTGAATAAAGTATTAAAGTCATAACATCACTACAGAAATCACAATCTTTAGGCAGAATTATGTACCAATACTGATGATGGGTGGCTGTGGAAAGCTGTTGTACCCTCACAAGGTTCAGTTAGAGAATCCCCACCTGCCTTGAACCAGCACAAACACATATTTCTCAACATAATATTTAGAACATTAACACATCTCCATAAACCCCTTTAAACTAAAGTTTCATATGCCAATGCACAAACTGTATTAGCACTGAGAACTGTCAGGGAGGCATTTCAGGGTTTTATCCCTCTTTTTTTCTGCAAAAGAGGTTAACAAGGAAAGATCTTGGAAACCTTGGAAAGGACAGGCCTCCTGTGTCTGTTCAGTAATGAGTCATGGACATGTCTGACCATTTGTTAGTACATGGAGAGAGATTTCTCCTCCAAGAATAAAGAAAAAGGAATTAAGAATTGAACAACATACCTGAGTAAGCCAGAAGCAGACAATGCAAAACTCTGAAAACTGCAGATCTTCCTTGAATTTTTCTCTTGGACTTTCCATGGGAGATTTTGGCAGCATGGAACAATCCTTTGAAGCAAGGGAACAAATGCGTGAGTCACTTAAAAAGTTCTCATTTGAGACAAAAAGCTGAATTACTTGCCCAATCTAATAGGGACAGATATTAAGCTGAAAACCATGACTCCACTGATTCAGCACATTGGTGTCTCAGGAGACAAAATGTTCCCGTTGTCCAGGCAGGCTGGGAATTGCAGGAGAGCAGGGAAGCTGCCCTGCAGTGCTTTATAGGCCCTAAAACTGCAAGCATGGAACGCAGAATTTTGCTTAAGAGACAGAACTGAAGTGGGGAAAAAAAAAAACTTATTTCAGTCTTAATTTATTTCAAAACACAGACATAGATTCATCTGGATTTTAGCAGCTTTCTAGAGGAGATGGGTCATGCCTCTTCCCTGAGAAATCACCAGTGATACTGAGTAAGTGAACCACATAGCCAGTGTCAAGGGTTACCTTGACATGCCTACAATTAATAAAATACACTTGAAAAAACCAAGGAGTTTAAGGGCACCTGTGTTAAAGGGCAAAAAAAGAGAATTTACAATTGGAACATGATTATTTGGTTCAGTACAAGGATTATTAGGTGAAACTTCATGGCTTCTATTATGGAAAAGGCAGATTAAAGCATTATAATGAACTCACTGGGTTCAGAAAATTACTTGCAGGGCAAACAAAAGAATGAAAGGATAAAAGAAAAGTACAAAATGATTCAACAACCATCACATTCAAGGTAACACAAACAGATAACAAAGGCAGTGTTTCCACACATCCCACCAGTGCTTTCCCAAAACCAGAGCTATGACTTGTCTCCCTCAGACTAAACAGAAAACAAGAACTGGTTTGGACTGGAGCCACACATTCACAGTAAAATTATTACTGGTGAAAGCATTTTGTACCAGTTTCAAACCCCAGTTGTTGTGGCTTGACATGGAAAAAGATTTTTTTCAGAAGGAAGAGGTCAATCCAGTCAGGGGTCAGGTTTGGATATTGACACTTGGGGTGACTAATTGAAGGACCAATTTTAACCCCTCTGAGAACACAGAGGGGTTAAAAGCAGGACTCCCAGGAGAACTCGCTCTCTTTGGTTCCGGTCAGTGGAGGGTACAGACCTCCCCTGCCCAGCCATGAGCTGGGTGGGGGAGAGGAAAAGCCATGTGGCCTGCAGAGGTAGGCCAGGGGGTGAAGGGTCTGGAACCGAGCTGGGCCAGTTCCTGCAGACGGAAGGGTGGAGAACGTCTGAGATGTCTTTGATCCCCCCCTAACCTAGAGGGAAAGAGAGAGCCTGCAGACACCCGGGAGTTTGCCTGCAGAGGAGAAGGAGAAGGGGAGGAAGATGCCCAGCATGGGAGGTGGGAGACAGCACAGTGTCCTGGGCCAGAAATTTCAGCCGTCCGGGAGTCCAAGACTTTTAACCCTTTCCTGGGAAATGAAGGCTTTGTGAAATATTGCTCCTCCTCAATTTGAAGGAAAGAGAGACAGCCTGGGACCTCATATGTTAGGAAAAGAAAGTTGTAGGGAGATGATGGAGTGGCTTTTGGCTGGACTCTTGTTAACCATAGACTGAACCACTCCTTCTTCCAAGAGGGACTGCATTCTAGGGGGATGTAATGGTGAGCCAAGAAACTCCTCCAGCAACTACCAGTTCAGGGATGAACAGAGGTCAGTGGAGGAGGGTGTGAGGATGCCCTCCATCTTCAAAGAAGAAAAGACGATCTCTGTTCTTGGACCCCTGGCCCCAGGGAAATGGGGGGGACTGTAATCCCAAAATGAGACACTGGACTGTTGGTCCTTGGCAAAGCATCCTTAAAGGAGCCCTATGAGCAGTCTCTGTCCATGCACGGTGGTGAGAGCACTGTGACATGGAGAGGAGAGTGTCACACTGGGCGGTGCCATGTGTGACATGGAAACACAAGAGGTGGCAGCTGTGTTTCCATTGGGGTCTATGGTGCAAGGGAACTCCTCTCTCCCCTGATGGACTCAGTATTGATTATGTGGAGGGGTGAAGACTTGATTAAGGGTCCAGATGTGTCTTGCTGTAGTTTGTTGGAGTTGGGTGGTGGGAGGAGGAATGTTTTGAAAGGTTTTCATTTTGAATTTTGTGTGTGTTTTTTTTCCTCCCTTTTTTCTTTTATAGTAGTAGTAGTGTAATAAAGCTTTCCCCTTGTTATTAAGTTTGGCCTGCTTTGCTCTGTTCTCGATCGCATTTCGCAGCATTCAATTGAGGCTGCATTTCCATGGGGGCGCTGGCATGATGCCAGTGTCAAACCATGACACCAGTATAAGACAGAGATTGCTCATCTAATTTCTTTTCTTGCATATGAACTTCATATAAGATTTTAAACACTGCTTTCTGTGGGGTTCTCACCTGGAAAAGCACATGGCACTGGTCTTTAGGAATCAGTAAGATGGTGTGTACACTACAACAATGAAAATGCAACAAAACAAAATGACAGCAAGCAGAAGATTTAGCACAAGAAAATACAAATTGAACATGATATTCCTAGAAAACACATTTGATACACCACTATTTAACACTTAAATCCCCAACCTTCCTATTAATTCCTGTTGAAATGTATAATGTGAAAATAATTTTTACTTTTCCCTCCCCACTATCAATTACAGGTGGTGCTTCTGAGCTTTGAAAACTAGCTCTGGAGCTGCCACATATCTGCTCTCTTTTTACACAAGTGTTTTACTAGAAGTAGTCAGACAACGTTGGTTTCTAACCTTCATTTTCACCTTCTGCATTTAGAACTGAGCCCATGCCAGGTATTAGGGAGCTCTAGATGCTCTCCAGTCAGAAACCCAGCATATTGTGGTGTTCGAGAAAGTGCAAGACTGGCAAATCCATTGCTCCTAATGAGTACAGTCTCCTAGCAAACTAGGACTTATTTATTTCATACATTATGAATAATTTCTAACAACAAATCCATCTGAGAATTTTGCAGTTTGGCAGCAAACAAAGGAAGTGGCAGAATTTCGCAAATTAATTTTAATGCATTATTTACCAAAGCTTCTTATATAATGAGGTAGGGAACAATTTCTCAGCTGACAGAACTAGAGTAACAATCTAAACAGATATTTTTCATCTTCTGTTTCTACAAATTGGCAAGGACTAGAAACATTCATATTTGTATCCGTCATCACCTTTATCAACACTCTGACCCAAAGTCTTATATACTTATTAATATGCTTAATTAATATGCTTGTCTGCTACTTAATACACACCATATAATGAAATATTTACTGACACGGCATCCCATCACCGATCATAGCTTTTGTTAATAAAGAAAAAAGTGGCTCATAGGAAACCAAAGATAAATTAAACCAAAGCACCTCTAAAATCTTCAAAAGACCTTATCAGAGTCTACTTTTCAGACACAGCATTTCCTTCAGCAGTCTCACCCCAAGGCCTACTCAAAGCTAATCAATCACTCCCCACCCTCCTCCTCATCATTTCCTTTTAAGCACTAGCTGGAAATAGCCCCATCTGCTCTGAAAATCAAAGAGCAGCAGCTGGTGATCAGCCCCCTTTTAGTAAGGATATTGTCCTGGGCAACTCAGTCAAAATTAATTATAACCTAGATGGAATTAATTAGAGGCTATCTTTATTTCATCTCCATTGTTGTGCAGACAATTGTTTCTCTACTCCTCACACGACTTGGTAATTACAGTAAGATGAAACCACTTAAGATGAAACGTCCTGAATGGGTTTTGATTCAATTTACAAGAGTGTGTTTGCAGAGCTGGGGCGAGAAAAGTGCTGTTTGTTAAATACAGAGCAGATCTACACACATTCACAAAAAAAAAAAAAAAAAAAAAAAAAAAAAAAAAAAAAAAAAAAAAAAAACCAAACCCAAAGAAACAAAACAAGGTTTGTCAGTTCTTAGTATTGCTCAGTTGGGGCAGAAAAACAAAAAAGTTTTTGTTAATTAGAAAAAAAAAAATACTAACTAGGAACAAGTTATCTCTAGCACAGAGAAACTGTGCTGTAAATTCTGTTGTAAAATTCAGATTTTAGATTCAGGAAGCCTTTCCCTCCTATTTGAAGGTGCAAGAAGCCTCCTGGTATCTGTTACATGTTAGCAGTAGTTTTATCTTGCACTGTGGGAGGGAGTTTCTATAGGCACTTTAATTCCACGCCAGATCAAATGGCTCCAATCAGTATTTTCTCAACCTTTTATCAAGGCAGGCAAGTGCCTGTACGTGACACCAACACTTCCCAGATGGTTTTCAGCTAAAAGGAAAGAGTCTTATCAGGACTGAAAAGAGACAGTGGCAGATTTCTATTTGGTTAGTAACAACTGCTGTCCATATTAACATCTTTGATTAGATTACAGGAATGAGATTCTCTAGTTTGATAGTATCAAATCCATTTGAGAAGAGCAAAAAACCCCAAACCTTGCATTTAAGAGAGGAAAACATCTAGTTTTAATCTATTTGTAATCTACTGAAGTAATTTCTCCCTAGCAGCATAACAAAGCTAAATTAGTCTAAAATAATAATGTCTGTTGCACATGGGCTTGGGGGAGGCTAAATGGAAGCTGACCCTCCCTGTGGACATGTTTCAAGGGGTAATAAATAACATATCCCTTGGTGGAACCAGCAAATGCAATGCCTGGCACTCCTGGGAATTAGGCTAAACTGAGTCTATGGCACCAAAGTGGAGCTGAGTGATTAATTCATGTGGTGCCTGCTACAAAGAAGATCCAGAGGCACTGGGTCATGGGGACATTATTTTTAGAGTGTGAAATCCTATGAAATTATCATGACTTTCACATGTATAATACATGAGGAGGCAGGGAGGCTCAGCTTCATTCTGCCTCTTCTTACAAGCAGTGGTTCATGAGTGAATTTTTGCTTCAGGAGAAGCAAACGGCAAAGACAAAATGGTTCTTGATAGCAGCAAACTGTTCTAAACATGCTCAGCTTTCTCCTTTCTGAAGAACTCACGCACAGGAGAACGTGTTAAAAGACAACATGAAAACCATCAGGTAGTTTTTGGGACAGGTGACAGGCACAGGCATTTCAGTGGGAGCCCTCCCAGGCATTCCAGAGCAATCCAAGACTTTCCTGAGGTAAATCCAGTTAAAATGAATGCTCTGTATCCATCCCTGGTTCTACAGCAGTGATTTTCACATGGAGGTACAGAGCTATACCCAGCAGCAGGACTTTGGGTATTAAAATATTGAAGGTATACAACACACACTCAAAATGCTCAGAAAATTTTAAACTGAAAAAGTACACAACTCTCTTGTGGTTGTCACAGATATGCAAGATTAACTAAGTGTAGCAATAAATGAAATAAAGATGCATAATTTCCTTTGGCCCTAATAATTCTGTAACAATCTGACTCAATTTCAAAACCAATTTTCCCATTTTTTATCCTCTGGAGAACAATTGCTGTTTACCAAGTTGCTTCTCAGAAACACTGCTGTAAAACATTAAATCTCCTGTGAGCAGAAAAAGGTAATGTTGTTCAGTGGAGCACAGAAAAACTCAATTCATCCAAATAAAATGAATTATATAAGTTTATTTAAAAGCTATGACTTCTCATTATGTACTTGGTTTAATTAATAGGAATTTTAGTCTAAATCCAAAATGGCTACAAAAGATTCTTTGTAATCTAGCAAACAAAAAAAAAAGTGATTTATTTATGTGTGCAAAATCCTAAATATTTCACACACCATTGTTCAAAGGATCTTTCTGTGATTTCAGTCTCATTTTAATCTTAACAGCATAAGACACTGTTTACAGTTCCTCCTGCTCTTGAAGAGGGTTTAAAAACCTTGTGTCCCAACCAGCCAAACTATAATTTCCCCCATTTAATTAGAAAATAGATGAGATCAGTTTATTTGAACTGGTACTTGAAGTAAGCAATTAAGTGCTTCACTTAATAGGAGTGTGTGCTGTAAATCTGGCCTTTCATTACATGTACAGCTCCCCACACAATAGGTTTCTAGTACCAAACAGAAGCTTGCAGGCACAGCTTTAATAAAAATACACTATTTAGGAATATTGTGATGTATTTTCACTGCCCCTGAGGGACTTCCACTAATACAGCCTATTATCTGTCCTATTTACACAGAACTAAGTATGCAATTAATTGGCAATCTGTAGTGGATTATGGAAACATTCCAGATGGATGGGGGTTTATCACAGCGTTTTGCTGTAGCAGATACTGTAATTTCCTAAGTTTGGGACACTGAATTTATTTCTTTGTCAGATAGGTCTTGTGAGCAAGAATTTCCATTTCCTCTTACAGCAGAAGAAGGATTGGAGACGCAGCACAAAGCGCCCGTGAGATAACACAGTATTGCTTCAGCAGACTGTCTGTGCTCACACACAATGGGATGTGTGGGCTGCACCTCCCTCAAGAAATGAAAATGCAATCAATTGATTTAGTTAATATTTTGCTCTGTGGGAAAAACTCCATCAGACAGTCTGGAGCTCCATTAATCCCTGGCACTGCTTGAGCTGTGGCAGTCTAAGCAGGAGAAAGCCCTTTGTGGTTTGTCAGCCCTCCTCAGCAATCTGGGGGTGAAAAGGGAAGTTGTTAACCTTTCTATCCTTGCCTTCCACTGCCACTGCAGCTGGATAATGCAGGAAAACCTGGGATGAGGTATCTGGAGATGTCACAGACGGCTCCACTGCCATGGGGGCCTGTGGCTGTTGGGAGGGAGAGCTCACCTGGGAGCTTAATCCAGACAATATCCAGAGGAGAGACCTCAGCAATGCATCACGCAGCTTTGGAACACACCACTCGCCCAGGAAGTGTTCTTTAAGATATTAAAGTAGGATGTTATTGTGTACAAACCTCCTCAATGTATTATTGACAGAAAGGAAGTGTACAGAGAGCCCCTTTGAAACCAGCAGGACACAGGCTCCCGTTCTGGTGCAGCAAACAGAGGGAGAGGCCATAGGGAAAAAAACTCTCTAATTTCATCACACTTTGGGGCAAATACACACATTTCCCCTCCTGCAGTGGCAATGAGTGTTGTTATTCATTAGGCTGCCTAGGTCTGTGTAGATAAAAAGTCACCTTCAAACAGCATTCATGTTAGGTAGCAGCTCTTACTCCATGTCTCAAGACTTCTGTTTTCTCCCCTCAGCATAAATGCCTAAGAAGCTACTACAGTGTATGGATGAGAGTTGTATTCTTGCTCAACTGGGTATCAGTTCCTAAAAGTGAACAGCTCACTGCTTTTCCTATGCACTCAGCAAGTATCAAAACTCTTATGGACGTTTATAAATGCCTATCTGCCTAGACCACAGCTCAGCCAAGTAACCCAATCCTCATGTGAACTACATGCCCTGCTGTAGGAATTTTCACTTTAATGTAACTTAAGACATAAATCTGACTGAAAGATAAATATCTTTTAATTCTTCCAGCTATACTTAAGCCTCTTGATTCCCCCTCCTTGTTGGCACTTGCCACCTTCATTTATTTTCAGACTGGTAATTGTCCCCTTTACATTTCCATCAACAGACCCCCACACGTCCTGCAAATCTCCAGATTGCTTTTGCCATGTGTTAGGATTAATAATTAATGAAGCCAGGTGATTGTTCCAAGTGACCCATTATCATGTCAGGGCAGAGATGAACTAGAGAGAAGACAGGACTCATTTCTGAACCTCCAATTTCAATATCAAAGTTCAAAATCAAAACACCACCAGCAACATAAATCTATTTCTCTCAAGAGATCTCTTTTTTTTTCAGATCTGGCCAGAACAGCCTGGAAAGGAGATATTCCCATGCTCAGGGCTTTTTAAACATAAACTATTTTTTCTCCAGTATGTGGCATTTCTCAGGGCTTTTCTGACATTTAAGTATCATCCAGGTATTTAATGATAATCAAGAAGAGAAAACGAATAGGAAAGGGAAATGTACATTAGCGTGAAAGATTAAGGGACATGAATATGTATAACACACACACAAGAATAAAAAGCTGGTATACAATGGGATGCCACAGAGCAGAGTGGGAGGGCTTCTGTTCATTAAGTGTTGATACAGTGGATTTAAATAAAATTGAATAAAATCCAATTTAAATGCCAGGATAAAAAGCCTTGAACCACCAGGCAGGGGACAGAATGGATTTCTGTCCCTCAGAGGCCAGATCAATGCCTGACCGACAGCAGCTGCAGATGGTCAGCAGCAGAAGCCTGCAAAAAAGAAAAAATTAAATGGGGAGATCAGGTCTGCTGATTCTTTTTAATCCCATTCTTTGCTGTTCCTGTAATATAATATTTATCTCTATCACAAAAAAAACTACCTATCACAGGTGTCTTAACAGAGTTGGTGTATTATTAATTTGCATCATGTCTCAAACCACCTTAGCCTCTACATGCATAATCCTAAACCAGTAGTATTCAATTCTACAATTATACTTCAGCAAGAAGACAGTAAATTCACCCACTGAGAAAAAGCAAACAAACAAATAAATGACAGGCCATCAATTCATTTGAAGTCACGAGCAAAGCTTCACTGGAGATAGCACTGCACAGCTTATTATCAGCCTGCTGTTAATGTAGGGCTCCTGCTTTGAGATTATTTAAGGATGACTAACTCATGTTACATTTATTTCCTCTAAATTTGCTCTGGGCTATATGAAAAGCAGGAATCAATTAATTATTTGCAGGACCATTCAGACAGCACTACAAACAAAATTTAGGATTTCAACACAACACTTTTGTGGGAGCAATATCACATGAAGTTGTGCCACAAGAAATGAAAAAAAACCCAGAAAGGTAAAAATTAATTTTCCAATGGGTTATAAAACCACTGAAACGTTTTAAGTGTGAGAGCAATTTAGATGAAAACGTTGATATCTGAAAAGTTAAAAGTGCAGATGGAATTGCATAAGTTTCATTGTTTTCAGTCGTGTCTGCTTTCTCTACCACTCATAATTAATATTTACAGAATGCAAAACCTTTCTTAAGAGCCATCCTACTGCCTCAGGATCAGTATTTTCTCAGCAGATGACTCACATTTTAATCCCTTGCATGTCATGGTAGGGCACAGAAAAGGAGGGTGCTTATGTTGTCTCTAGCTGGCTGCACAGCTGAAATGGTGCTGCTGTGACTTCATTGACCCCAAGGGACTCAGCATGGGCAGCATGTTTTAGTCATGACAGAAAGCAAAACCTGTGCCTGGTTATTCAAGGCAATCACTGAATCACTTCTGTGTTGTCCCTGGTATTGATTCACTCCTAAGTGCTCTTGGCTTTCAGCAATAATCTCACTTTACCCCAAGATGTGCCAGGGACTGCACAGGTGGGGACAGCAGAGTCACAGAGCGGCTCCTAACATAAATAACAGACAGGTTACAATGGAGTGGATAAAACATCCTGAATGAGATACTCCTGCCTTCTGTCTTAATGGAGAATACTTGACCTACTCTTGGATTTCTGCTTCAAAAGATGAGCTAGAATCCCCAGCTCTTGGATTAGACCCTGGGAGCAATCCCTTACTAGTTTAAGGAATGAGTAGATGATATACCAAGCTGCTGTCAGGTCAAATGAGATTATAATGCCATAATACAATACCTTAAACACTTTGGTAATAATGCCTTTTACCCACATAAATTAAGAAAACGAAGTAAAGTAAGTAAAAGAGAGAAGTTTCATCTGAAAGCTGAGTGGACAGCACATCTGAAGATACTTATTACCCAAAAGGTAATAAGGTAAAAATTTCTTCTCTGCAGGGAAAAGGAACCAAGATTTCTCCAGGGATTTTCTGAGGAGTTTGCAAAAAAGGCCTTTTTATCACTTTAGAAGAGCAATTACTAACCCACTTCAGCCATAGAATAGCAGCAGCTGTCTATCTTAATTTTTTCTTGGAAATGTTAAAAGTGCAAAATCCACTGGAAAGCTCCTTGCAGAGCAGCTGTGGATTATTTATGGTGCCTTTACTAGCCATGGTCTCAAATGCACTGTTCCACATTGAAGGAATATGCCTTAGCCATGAGTGATCTGTGAAACAGACAGCCCCAGCAGTTCAGTACTGAAAACAGGATGTCTTGAGGGAAAAAATAGAGCTGGTGAGAGTGTATTTCAAATAATAAAGTGCATTCAGTACTAATTAACTGTAAAGTGACAATATGAACAGACTGGCTGGATCCTCTTTGTCTGGTTATTTTGCTGTGTGCCAACACAGAGCTATTCAGGGATACCAGAGCAGTTTGTTAAGTACGTGACTGGGTGGTATATGACTAAAATTTCCTGGAATTACATATGCTATTGACTTTTCATGTACAAAAAATCTGACTCAAACTTGTGCTAGGTTAGCAGTGCCATTCTTCTCATGCATTTCTCACTTGCGTTTCAAAAAACTGGCTGAAGTTTCTGGTTTCAAGCCTGCAGATTTTCCTCCAAGACAACCATTTTGTTTGCCCCTTGCAGGGCTACTGGAAGGGAACAGCAACTCTTCCCCACCCGAGATGAAATAAGGGGAAGAAATAGTCTCAAAAATCAGACCTGTTGTCATGGAAACCAGAACAAGGATTTTTGAGGCCAAAATGGATGCATTTATAAATCAGAGATGAGGAAAATCCCACCCTTTTATAAAAATACGTTAAGTGGAAAATGTCTTTATCATAGGATGTCAGATATTTACTAACTCAACAAATGCTGCAGTGTAAAGCAGTATGTGAGTAATTTTTTTTTCTATAATACAATATGATCTCATCAGCACCAGTGGTTCATGCATTTGAGAGAAAGGCAGTAGTAGCCATAGAAACAGCCTGCTCTTCCTGAGTGGCAGAAGGCATCGTGTGACACCCACTTTTGGTGGTGGCCTCACACTCTGCCAGATTTGTGGCTGCTTTTGAGTGTGAGGGGTTTTTTGATGCACCTCAAGCCACTTGAGCCAGTTTTATTCTGTTCAGCTTCACAGCTCGGCACTGCTTCTGAGAGGAGGGACCTAAGGGAGGGAGATTCTTTCCCCAGGATGGGAATAAAGCGTGGCTCCAGGGGTGCTTGTAGAAACAATGCTGTTATTTTTCCTTGCTGTGTTGTTAGAAAGCATGTTGCTACAGCACTGCAATAAAATCAGGGCCATTACACCATGTACTCTTTCAGTATTTGTGTGGACAGATGTACAAGTGAACAACAAACCTGCCTGAGGCCATAGAGCAAGACAAGGACAGACCTTGGGGGGAGAAAAAAAAAGGTTTTTTTCATTTTTCAATCTCAATCATTTACATAAAGCATTTCACCATTTCACCTTCTTCCACCACCTTGAATCTCCCCTTCCCCACATCAGCTGCCAGCATGGAGCCCCACCTAAAGGTAGAGCTTGGCTTGGACTCTGATCTCCTTGTGACATATTTTCTGTTTAGTGCTGGAAATTGCTGCTTTAAACTGCAACTTGAGCCCTGTCTGGGGACACACACTCTGAGTCACCTCCAGCAGCAGATGATTTGCAGACAGCCCTTCAAAGCTGCCCCAGCTCTCTGTTACTATCTCTCTCTCACTGCTACCTCACTCAGTTTAAAAGCACAGGTTATCCTCTTGCTTGTTTGCAATGCCTAATGAGGCCCAAGATGTAAAGAGCCAGACTGACCTTTAACAGCTCTTTGTACTGGGGAGAAGAGTTTTGCAGTTTAAGACTGCTTGTTGATAATGATGGTTTCACTCTCCTGTGATAAAGTGCAACTTGAAAACAGAAAACACAGAGAAAGCTGCTGTGTTCTGCTCTGGAGAGCATCTGTGGGGGACACATCTTCCACACGTGTTTTATGACAGCACTGGAGTACCCACATGTGGAATAAACAGAGATACAAGCAGTTTATTGCCCTAATTTTATCCCACAGCTCATGGCTCCAGCAGGCAGTGCTGCTGGATCACACAGGAAGCTGCTCCAGAACCAGGCTTTTATAGCCCAAAGTTTAGGAAAAAAACAACCTGGAACTTACTGGACCAATTTGGCAATGCTGAGATGTACAAGGACGTGACTGCATTCTATATATAGTGTATATATATACATACACCCCTGGGAAAGGCATGAGGCAGGAACAGCTTCCTCTCCCACACTTTAATCCGGTGTCTCACCTTTTCCTGGATACTCTTGGAGCAGAGATCCCAGCACTAAGCAGTCAGAAACAACTGGGTGCTCCCACAACCTGCACTGGTTTTGTTTTGGGCAATATCCATGCCATTGTGGGCTCTGGGTTGCTCTGTGAAAGGTAAACCAAAGGCTTTGGACTCCGAGAGACATGCTCCACACCTGGACAGAAATATGGGAAGCAGTCAAAAAGATGAGTTACAATGGAAAATAAACTGTGCTGCACAAACAAGAACAAACAAAGAATGAATAGCTCAAATCCAGCCCAGGTGGAAGGGAAGAAGCTGTATGGGAAAAGGAGCTGCAAGTAACAAAGTAGGGCAATGACACTTGTACAAACCCCTGAAACTGCAAGAAATTTATTTGTTTACTCAATGGCTCTTGACATCACAAGCCAGGATCATGTTTCCATCACTTATTTTCAAAACTTAAGGGTTTTCCATACAACAGAGGACAAAACACTAGTTTCTTGTTACATGGTGGGTGTCAATAGCGCACAGTGCCAAGAAACACAGCTGCCCTGCTGAAAAAGTCTTCCCTCACAAATCTAGGATGTTTCAAGGGGTTTTCTCCCACTGTTTGGAGAAAGAGTTTGCATGCATTAAAAGAGGTGAACAGGAGGGAAAATGAGTTCAGGAATGTTACCAGAACTTTCCCATCTCACAAACATGTTTTTGTTAGCCACACAGAGTGCTCTGAAACTGTTTGATGTTTTTCACTGTTTCCACCTCATTGTTTCTGATGGCGGTAGCACTTCCAGGGTTTGGGGTCGGCAGACCAAACACTCCGACCCCAAGGACACGATTGTGATAACACCCTGTGAGGTGATCCACGCTCACAAACAGAACAAAAAGTCTGGGCCAGTGTTACTGTGTGTAGTGCTGCCCACAGTACAACTGAAAGAGATGGAATTGAGCTGTGTTCTGAGGAAATGAGACCTTCTGTTTCCATCTGCAGCAAAAGGATCCTCTGCTTTCTGTCCTGCAGTACGATATATGGAAACAGCTAAAGTTATATATTTTCTATGGAAGATTTCCTCATTGGCAAAAATACCCTCAATAAATTCTAAAATTCCTTCATAGAAAGCAGACTGTAAATAAAAAAAAAAAAAAACACAAAATTAAACCAATCAGACAACAAAAAAGAAGCAAACCCAAAGACTGTTGATACTCAGAATCCTACCATTTGACTCCTTTACTCAGTTACAGGCTTATTGTACTCTACAGTTTTCACTAAACACAGATTACAAACCTTTGCAAACAAAACAAAAGAGTTGGGTAATGCAGTAAGTAATCTGGAATTTAATTCAAACTAGGCCTAGGCTAAGCAGAAAATTAACAAAAGGGGCCGTATAGGGTTTCTCAGCATCAGAGGTTGCATATTTGGTGGAAAGGGTTCTCTTGTTAAGTATTGTTTGCCTTGTTGAATTGGCTGTGATTTATATTAATGTTATCCCACCTGTAAGTACATTTTCTAAAATATTGCATGTTCTAATCTCTACCGATAATCACAGAACAAGAGAACGGTTCGGAGGTGACCTTAAATATCACCTAGTTCCAACCCCAATAATCAGATTAACCAGTTCACTGCTCCCCTTCTCCTTTTATAGAAGAGTTGCTTACCAGAAGGCAGAAGGGTTTGTAAAGGGAAGTACAAAGACTTGCAAAACCCAGAACTTCCTTTGTGACTACCTAAGGACTCAGTTCGGGTGAGAATCAGACTTTCTTTTACCCTAATATGGCAATCCCACAAAAACCTGATGACAAATCAGGTGAGAAGCTGTGGAGTTACAGCTCCTACAGGCAGAGCTGAACAAAGGGCATCAGGGGTAGGTTTGGACTATACCTTTTAAAGTCAAAGAAATTTTGTGATGAGGTCACCCTACAGATGATCAGTGGGGCTGGGCCTCCCACTAATTTCATCAAGTAACATTATTGCAGGATTTCACCGGCAGATGGCTTGTGAAACTTCATGTGCCCATCAAGACAGGAAACACTGAGCCTAATGGCATTAAAAGAGTTGAAATGACTTTTGTGCTCAGACCCTAAAACATGGAAGGGGGTTTTTAGAATTTAACTCTTTTAACTCCAATGTAACCTCTTTTGCAAAGGCCAGAGTTCTGCAGAATAATGTAACTGAAATGTTGAGTAAAATATTTGGGAAGTGAAAAGCATCAGCCGTGTCTCCTCCACGTGACATAACAGCAGAGCTTATCTACACTCCAGGCTGCAAGAGGCTCGGAACTGAACGGCTTATTTTGACCTCTAGGCCCAATCTCCCTTTCCCAGGAGGTGAACATAGCCCCAAAATACCCTGCTGAAAAGTGTCTCTGGTGTGATATCACCATTTTTGGAGTATTCAGATGCCTGTGGCTGAGCAGGCTGGAGTCTGTTCATTGCATGTGTGAATGCAGCTAATTATAAGCTCTCTGGAGCAGAAATCCTGTCTCTGTCTGCACAGTCCTTGGCACAGCAGGGTCCCTTTCTCAGCTGGCCTTCAGTGAGAACTCAGTTTGAGGTATGAATCATATCAAAGGTGAATCAGAACGATTCTGAGTCACTGACAGCAGAGAGTAACAACTTTAACATATGTATACAAGACTAATGAGGTGCAAAATTTCTCTGTTCCAACTCAAGAGAGGAGAAAAAAATAATTTTAAAGAAACTAAAAGATAACTGAGGTAAACCAGATGTGCTTGATATAAACACCGGGCAGCAACTGGCAGAACAAGAGGACACAGCCTCAGCTACGTCAGGGAAGGTTTAGGTTGGATATCAGGAAAAAAATTTTCACTGAAAGAATAATAAAATACTGGAATTGTCTTCCTAGGGAGGTGGTGGAATCACCATCTCTGGATATGTTTAAAAAAAGACTGGACGTGGCACTTGGTGCTATAGCCTAGTTGAGGTGTTAGGGCATAGGTTGGACTTGATGATCTTAGAGGTCTCTTCCAACTGCGTTATTCTGTGATTCTGTGTGTGTGTAAACGCACAGCTGCTTAGCTCATCATTTATATTCTATTTTGTTATCTTGAGATAATTTATTTTAACTAAAGAAGACTTACCTGAACTGAGAGACTCGAGATGAAATGAGGATTACCTGGAACTAAGGTCATCTAAATTTTCTGTGGTCTTGGCAAACTAATAAAACCAAATCTACTCCATTTTATTAAAGTCAAAAGTATATAGTCTTTTAAAGAAAGTTTTGTGGTTTTGGTTTTTTCACTCTGCAATTAAACACATGTCTAACACCAGTTCACAAAATTAGTCACAATTGTTTATAGAACCTTTTTGTATGTTTCCTTTTTTTTTTTTTTCTAACACCAGTATATTCAGACATTCTCTAAGAATGTCCTTAAAAGGCATCTTAGTGTATTCTCTCTTTCTGACTGGCAGAAGCAAAGCAGTCGAGACACTTCACCAGCTCTGCTGAGTAGCTGAAAATACACAAGAGGAAGTGACGACTCATTAAAGGAGAGCTGCGAACTGCTGCCCTTATGCACCAGGTTTCCAGCTTGACTTTTTACACTCTCGGTGCAAAAAAACCAGTTGAAAAGGTGGTTAGCCTCTGACCTGGAAATTCCCTCGCAGCGGGAGCATAATCTGTGCGATTTAGTGTGAGTATCTTGTGGCTGTAAGAGCTGGTTACCCTGCAGTTTACAGCCTAATGTCACAGGCAAGTGACAAAACTCCATCCAGGAGCAGCAGGAAGCTCGGGTTAGATTGATGGCAGGGCAAACAAACCCACAGCTCACAGTCAGCTCTGTCACAAACGGCCAAGGCTTGAGAGGATAAATTTGAGCTAAGCCAGGCCAGTAGCTTTCAGCAGCTTTTGACTGATTCTGAGCTCAGTAGCTGGAGAAAAAGGGTATTGAAATAATAATTTCTTTGTGAAGATGATACTGGTCAATCAGAATTAGCTGGCTGGTTGTCAGTCTTAGTGCAAGGTCAGTAAGCCTAGAATCTCAAATATTGTATTTCCAGACTGAAAAGAGGTCCTACAGAAATAGATAAAAAATGAAACACAAAAATAAAACAAACAAATGTAAAAATCCAATTGCATGTGAAGCAATATATCCACAGAAACACTAACCTTTAAAAATAAATTAAAGAAGAAAAAGTTAACTTGAATGAAAAAAAGTTTTTCTCATTATGCATGTTTCACTCTTCTCCTTGGGCATCAGCTGGAAGTTCATGAACACTGATGGGAAACAAACACACTGGAATTTTTCCAGGACCTGGAAGGAAGGATTTCCACCAAGAACCGAGTTTTACCCTCACAGTATTTACGTAGAGTTGTTAGGAAAGGGATGAACTAATTTATTACACCAGGTTTTACTTCTAACACACGGTGTGTAAACGGGGGAATCCAAAACTGCTCGGAGCGGTGCTGAAGCCCGCAGCGTGAGGAACTTCCTAAACATGCGATGCCATCGTGTGGGCAAAGACATCTCCAGCAGTTTCCAGAGGAATGTCATTGAATCCTGGGCTGTTTCGAGCTGTTTTAAAATGGTCATCTCGACCCTGCTACGGGCAGGGACACCATCCACTAGCCCAGGTTATATTCACATCATATGAACATGCCATTAATTCCTTCATTTTTACTTGCTATGTCCTGACGCTGCTGACAGAAGCTGGGTAAGTCCTGTGCCTCTCGTGGTGATCAAAGAGAAGCTGAAACAGCATCCACCCTGGAATTCTGGTCAATCTGTTTCTACGTCTGAGCCAGCAACAGGAAGACTATTCGTCAGGATTTTATGAAATTTTGAATCCATGAAGGTTACAAAAAAATACCCCACAATTCAAAAGTGTGGTTTAACTTTATCAAGATTTTTACTCATTCTTGAAAAAGAGCAGTGAGGCTCTGCTATGGTTAATACAGACAGAATCACAGATTGGGTTGTATTGGAAAGGACTTTAAAGCTCATCTCATTCCAACCCCTGACATGGGCAAGGACACCTTCCACTAGCCCAGGATGCCCTGAGCCTAATCCAACCTGATCTTGAAAATTTCCAGGAATGGGACATTAGTAACTTCTCTGGGAAACTATTTTTTTCCCCTAAATTATCTTATTTTGTACATTTCTGCTTTTTGTTGAAAACACTGATCAGACTATCATTCAAAGTTAAATGCCAAAGCTGTTAACCTGTTCCATGGTACCTTGTTGCAGGAACACTCACAACACCAGATTTATGTGAATTTGCCCATCTCCCCCCATCTGGAAGAAGTAGGCTTCACACTGAGCTCAGGCTGCAAGAAAATCAACCATAGTCACACAAAGCATGGGCAAAAATGGTGTTACTGCTCTGAATGTGAACGCCTTGGTATGTTGCAGGAACCAAACCCTGGAGCTGAAAGAACAAGGAGAATAATGCAAATGGGATGAAAATTTGCCTGGAAAAAAAAAATTAAAAAAGTGAATTGTGGGACCAGACTTTTGCAACCACTGAGGTTATAATTTTTCTACCAAGTCTTCACATGTCTGACTGAAGGCATGGCCAGTCCCTGTGACCTTGCATTTGTCCCTTAGCCCATGTACAGCGTTTTTACCTCTCAAGCTCACAGCAGCCTGCTTTTTCCAGTCAGGAGGAGACAGAAATGGAACCTATTCATTGAGAAATTGTTGTGCTTTCCCTCCACTCCTCACTGCCATTGAAATTCACCAGAGCCTGAGCGTTTACCCTGACAGTGACCCGTGTGTGTGTATTTACTACACACAGGCACACCCAGCTTTTCCCTTCCCAAAGGCTGTTTCCAGCACAGATCAGGGCCAGCAGCACCTTCTCCCGCAGACCTTTCTGGGACCTTCCCAGGATACTTTTTGGTGAAGCTTTTTGAAACACCTCAGCACAGAGCACCTCACTCCTGACAGGAACTGCGAAGGCTCGTTGCTGTGCCCCAGCTACAACTCTGAATTTTTACTGTTTTTAAAACGCGTTTTAGGGCCAGGAAGGCTGAGGGAAAAGGGATGCCTCAGGAAGAAGGGAGGATTTCTGGAAAAGCAAAGTTTCCTCAGGGAAAAGGGATGCCTCAGGAAGAAAGGTCTCCTCAAGGAGGGTTTCTGGAAACGCAGGGTGTCCTCAAGAAAAGCGCTCCTGGAAACGGTCTCCTCAGGGAAAAGGGATGCTCTGGAAAAGCAGGGTCTCTTCAGGGAAAAGGGATGCCTCAGGAAGAAAGGTCTCTCAAGGAGGAGGGTTTCTGGAAAAACAGGGTCTCCTCAGGGAAGAGGTTTTCCTGGAAAAGCAGGGTCTGCTCAGGGAAGAGGGCTCCTGGAAAAGCAGGGTCTCCTCAAGGAGAAGGCTTTCCTGGAAAAGCAGGGTTTCCTCAGGGAGGTTTTCCTGGAAAAGCAGGGTTTCCTCAGGGAGGTTTTCCTGGAAAAATAGGGTTTCCTCAGGGAGGGCGGTTCCCTAAAGGAAAATCTCTCTAGGGAAAATGGTCCCCTCAAAGTGGAGCCTTTCCTCAAGGTGGAGGTTTCCCCCAAAAAGGATGGAAGGGTCCGGTCAAAAAGGAGGGTTTCCTCAGGGAGAAGCCTTCCCTTAGAGGGAAGGGTCCCCTGGAGGCTGAGGAAGCCGTGATGGAGGCGGCTGGCCGCGCTCTCCTGCCGCCCGGAGCTCCTCCTCACCGCCTCCGCTGCGGCACCGCCCGCCTGTCCCCTCCGCACCGCGGGGACAACACCGCCGCTCCTCGCTTCCCCTACCTTCCTCCACGCCTTCCTCCACTCCCTCCATCCCTTCCTTGCTTGCCTCGCTCCGCCCGTCCCTCCCCGTGGCCGAGGGCCGGCCCCGCGCTCCGCCCCGGCCGTGCGCGCATGGCGCCGGCCGGGCCGGGGCCGCTGTCACAGCGCGGGGCCATCGGGGCTACCGAGGGCCGGTGCCGCAGCCCGGGGCCATCGGGGTTACCGAGGGCCGGTGCCGCAGCCCGGGGCCATCGGGGGTTACCGAGGGCCGGTGCCGCAGCCCGGGGCCCATCGGGGCTACCGAGGGCCGGTGCCGCAGCCCGGGGCCATCGGGGGTTACCGAGGGCCGGTGCCGCAGCCCGGAGCCATCGGGGTTACCGAGGGCCGGTGCCGCAGCCCGGGCCCATCGGGGCTACCGAGGGCCGGTGCCGCAGCCCGGGGCCCATCGAGGGTTACCGAGGGCCGGTGCCGCAGCCCGGGCCCATCGGGGTTACCGAGGGCCGGTGCCGCAGCCCGGGCCCATCGGGGCCGGCCCGCCCTGCCGGTAAGCGAGGGGCGGGCGGGGGCTCGCCCCAGCCTCCGCCTCATGACGGGATGGGCCGGGGAGCTGCTGCCGAGCTGGGCTTGAAATGAACCTTTCAAGGTGTATTGTTGAATATTATTCCTTGAAGTAAACCTTTCAGGGTTTATTGTTGAATATTATTCTTTGAAATAAAGCTTTGATGGACCCCGGTTCTCCAGCGGTTCTCTGTTTAAATTAACAACGTCTCCACGGTCTGTCTTCTAGGTTACAGTGGTTTCCATTCACCTTTCCGTGTTTCTTCCTCAGGCAAGCAAGGATTTAGGCCTGACGGTGAAGCAGCCACAACCCGGCCTTTTGTCTACGGTAAACAAAGTTAAGGACAGAAATTCTGCATTGGGCTCAAGAGAGGCGCTGTTGGGTTGCGCGATGGGCTCGCCTACAAAAGAGAAGTGTCAGGAAGGACAGGGAATTTGCAGGAAAAATCCCTGCAAAATGATGTTTTTGTTCCATATCTGATATTTTTCATTTTGTCACCCCAGGTTTGTGTCTTCCCCAGACATGTGGGAAGGCTGTTGGCAGTGGTGGCTGTCACTGGGGTCATGGTGGGATTTGGGGTTTCAGGCGTGTTCGGTCTGTGCTGTGCTGCTCCAGAAGGGCAGAGCACATGGCCCAGACAACTCTAAAAATTAATCTGTCTGGATGGCCCAGACAGCACTAAAAATTAATCTGTAATGCAGGTGAATCTTGGGACATTGATAGAAATAGTTAAACTACTCAAAGTGTAAAACAGACAAACCCCAGACCAACCCCCCACTGCCAGCTTTAGTTCTGTGGGTACCAACTCCCAATGATTGATTGATTGGTTTTGTATAAATCTGTGTGTTTTAATGGGTCTTGAGTTGTGTTCCTAAATGTTTTTGTCCCTTTGTTTCAAATTATTTTTATAGTGTGTCCATGAAAAAACCCCCTCTCGTGTGATTTTTCAGAGACTTTGCAGTGATGATGTTTTAGTGCCACATCATATTGGCAAACTTAGGTTCAGTCTATTAATGCACCAGAAAGGTGCAGCATAATCTGTCATAACTAATCCATTATCAGGCTTTTCCCTTCATATTAAGGATGTGTTCCAGCTGTCAAACTCACGGTCACTTTGTGTAAAACTAATTTTCCTGTTAGATCATATTGGTTTTTCCATTTGATAGAGGCTTGACTGAGGTTGGCATTGGTGGCCAGGGTAGTTTCAGCCAAGAGCTGTCAGACTGTCAGCTTTTAAAGCACAGTTACTATTCACAGATATTCTCCAGGTTCATTAAGCCTTGGTGAATACAGAGACTAAACAGTACTTTTAATAATTTCCTGTAAGATTACTAATTTGCTCTTCTTGTAAAGCTTGCACTGCTGTTAGTCTGTTTGATGTGTCTTTTGTGGCCCTTGCGATATCTTTCTGTGTTTAATGTTTCTTTTGATTTTTTTTTTCTCTTTGCTTCAGGTTGAAAAGATGGGGAATGCTGAAAGCAATGCCTATCAGAATCACCTTTCCAGATTTCTTCCTGAGGAGCAGTCTGACATTGATGGACTCTTCGATACCTTATCAGGATCCAGTGGCTCATCTGGAGCAAAAAATGCCAAAGCTGCAAAGAAAACTGTGACTCTGGCAGCACTACAGGCAAGACAGTCTGTTATTCATGATATATCTGGGTGGAATGCATTGAACAGAGTTCCAGAAATAAACTATAAAGATGTGGTGGTTTTAAATTGCTAATCTCAATTTAATTTTTCATATTTTGGGGCAAGATGGTTATTTGACTTTTTCTTGCAGTTTAACCAAAGTAGTGACTTTCAGGTTTGTGGTTATCTCTTAAATTGCACTTTTGGATCAATTTTCAGCTTTCCTAATTTTGAAGTAAGTTAGGGTGTATGGAAATATTTTCACAGAGACCTGAAAAATGGGAAGAATATTTTTACCTCTGGAGTCTATGGTGTGGGATCATTTAGAGATTGTCTTGAGAAGCTGTCACAAAGTCAGTTTTTATTTGGTTGTGCCTGTCTCCCTTGACATATCAGTGTCTCTAATCTCTTCACTTGTACTAAAAGGAGAGAATTAAATTTGACTTGATTAAGCCATGGCTTGCTGTTTTAGCTAATTAACATGCATGATGATTCTGATTAACTTTGCATTCATTTTCTAATCAAGAAAAGAGAAAAATGAGTCATTGGGATCCTTAATAACTTCAGCTAGTCAGGAACTAAATGGCCAAATGAATGTAGTGGTAAAGTGCAGTTTGATATATATTACAGAGATAATGGAGTCAAATTAAAACTCATTGAAAGCAGCAGGTTATTTTAAGGTGTTCAGCAATGCCTGTGCATACAGACCAGCTTCAGCCTTCCTGCAGCCTGGCTGTTTGTGAGCTGTCACCAGTTTTTGGAACACCAAGTTTGGAAATGATGTTCCTGCTGCCTGGTTTTTCAGCACTAGTTCATCCATCGTCCTTGGTGCCAGTTAATTGTTTGGGACCTGGCAGAAGTTTTTTCTAGGTTTACCCCAGATCAGTGTGATTTTTGATGAACATTTGCCTTTTCCCTTCCTGCCTTTTTGTTTACCAGCTTAAATTAAAATCTTTTGGAAGACTTCCTGTAGGTGCAAGGAGAATGGCAGTGGTATTTCTGCCTTGTAGGTGACAATGCTCATGACCTGGACTGAGATGTGACAGATTTGATCCAACAATAATCTGGTACCACTGGTGAGGCCCCAAGCATCTGGGCTAGGACAGCACTGCATATCTTGGGAAACAAGTGGAGCAGGAACCTCTTGATAATTTCATGAAGCCTTTTTAAAACAGGAGTTCTAAGCTGTCAGAGGTGTGAGTTAGATGGTTATTAAGGATTCCTTTTTTACACACCTATTTTTTTGCACCCTAGGCCCTCTCTTTGAAATAGCTAAAAATGAAACATCCCAGTGAAGTGGTGGGATTAGGTAGGGAGTAGGTAATTCAGCAGTGTGAAGTAAAAAGAATTCAGCAGTGTGGAGTATAATGTTTTAGTTGTGTCCCCTGCTGCCTCTCCCACTTCAGGATTTTCAGAAAGCCTCTCAAAGACAGCTGTACCCCCTGTGAGCATCCCTCCCTCGCTGTGGAGCACTCTGATGGGAAAGGCTGTGGCTGCTCTTCCTGCTGCTGCTGGAATCAATGGGAGCTGTAGCACTGACGTCAGTGCAAGCAGCACAGAGCTCAGGATGTTGGATCTCTCATGCCCAGCAACAGCCATTTACAGCAAATAGGAGCAGCCCAGGTGGCTTCCCAAGAGTGGAATCAGCAATAGCAGCTCCCCTGAGTGGAGCTGCAGTTGGGCTTTTAGGCACGTGGGGCTCCACTGATTTCAGCATAGTCCCCACTGAGCTACACCCTGTGTGGAAGAGTCAAATCAGGTCTTCAGCACACCTCTGTGCACAGTGAGGACACGGGGTAATCACGTCCTCCTCTGTCATGTACTCGAGATGATTTATTTTTAAACTGTGTAATTAACTTGAACGCTCTGAAAGTTGAATCCAGAGTCAGATCTTTCCCACAGAGCTGTGATAAGTGATGATATATTACAGCTAGATTTCAACTCAAAAGGGCCAAGCATGCAATCCAGATGAGTAAGTGCTGATTTTGACTCTCTTAACACCAGGGATGCTTTTTAAAAATCAGGTGATCTGTGCTTCAATTAGCTGCTATGCAGGGGGAAATTTTCCAGGATTGTTTCTGCACATGCATGTGGGGTTAAACACTACCTTGAGGCCAAAACTGAGATATTGAAAACACTCCACTTTGTTTTGAAGTGAGCTGCACTGTTGAAAGCAGAATTAAAACACAATTTTGAATGTTTTGCTGGCAGAGCTGTAAACCTTTGCACCAGAGTTATCACCCAGAAGCCCTTTGCTAATATCCTATTAAGACTTTACAGTGTTGATTTTTCTGAAGCCCGTGGTGCTTCTTGAAAAACAGTACCAACCTAAATCACTAAAAAAAAATCGCTATAAAAATAGAGATTTTTAGCAGTTCTCTGACAAAAATTTATTTCTGATACTACATACTGCATGTCAGCACAGATAAACTGGAACACATGAGTTATTCTTCATTTGTAAAACTTGCTCTTTGCTGTTTCTCTCACTGCAGGCACACACCCGGGAGCCCCTGCCACAGCCAATGACGGCTCGTTTGTACAATGGAATGAAAAGCATTGACCTGCCTGGCAAATCGTCCGGGCTCAGTGAACAGATTGCTAAGGAGCAGTTTGTAATTTTTATGTCAAATCTCTTGAAAGGGAATGCAGATGAGAAGATTAGCATAATAATGAGAATGATCGACAAGACCGGAGGGCCTCTGAAGGGCAAACAAATCCGAGAGGTAAACAAGCAGTTAAAGTGTGTTGGGAGGGACCGTAAGAGAGCAGGGCTATAGTTAAGAGCCAGCAAGGGCTGTGATGTGGCTGGTGCTTCAGGGAACTGAGAAAAATGCTTTCTAGAGCTTTAGTTGCAGGATCATCTGTGTAGCTTTTGAGA